TACTAACGTAACAATTCGATGACAGAGAATTTTAAATGTGCGTGAGATGCTTACGTAACAACCCAATGAGAGAGAATCCTTAATCTACACACGACACTAACGTAACAATCCAATGAGAGAGAATTCACTATCTGCGCGAGATACTAGCGTAACAATCCAATGAAAGAGAATCCTACAAGTGCGCCAGATATTAACGTAAAAATCCGATGAAAGAGAACCCTAAACGTGCGCAAGTTACTGATGTAACAATTCAATGAAAGAGAATCCTAATAGCACGCAAGACACTAACGTAACAATCCGATTAAAGAGATTCCTAAATGTGCTCAGGATACTGACGTGGCAATCCGATGAAAGAGAATCTTATATACGTGCAAAATGCTCGCGAAACAATCCGATGAAAGAGAATCCCAAACGTGAACGAGATACTAACGTAACAATCCAATGAAAGAGAATGCTAAAAGTGCGCAAGATAGTAACGTAACAATCCGATGAAAAAGAATTCTAAATGTGCGCGAGATACTAACGTACCAATCCAATGAAAGAGAATCCCAAACGTGCGCAAGATACTAGAGTAACAATCCAATCAAAGACAATCCTAAATGTGCGCAAGACAGTAACGTAACAATCCAGTGAAAGAGAATTGCGAAAGTACATAAGATATTGAGGAAACACTCATTTTTCGTCTTGAAAAAAAACAGAAACACCTAATATTGTTTTTAACCAATACACGTCAACCGTCAAAGGCCCTGAAATTTAGCCATTAACCGTCAGAATTTGACTGATAATTTTTACGACATTGCTATATAACCTAAAAAAATTTTCTTTATCAGTTGATGATAAACTGTAGAGGCACTCCGAGATGCAAACACAAAGTTTTGAAGTAGACTATTTCAATTTGGTTTTCGGTGCAAGGGCTCAGACATTAATAATGATTAGGCTCCAAGATTTTTAATTGAATCATGATGAAAAAGTTCGATATGAGTTGGTGATAAAATCTTTTAGCCGTAGCCTAGGGTAGTATTACGTTTATAAGTGGTAATCCTTGTGTGAAGCCAAGCTAAATCCAGGCAAACATTTTAATGCAAATTCAAGGTCCCTGGGCAGATACGAAACATGCTAGGCTAGAGACTTAAACCTTGTAAAATGTCTGCATTTTGCGAGTAAGTAATCTCTTTGAAAAGATATAGGAGTAGTTGGGTGATCGATATCAATATTACAAGTATTCTCTAATCTTAGAACTTGAAGATAATTTGACAGGCTAAACCGTTGCTATGGTAATTTGATGGGTCAGATGGATTGTCATAACATGCACAATAATAACAAAGTATTTATTTGACACTGGTGAAACAGAACTGCTCAAAATTGAAACTGAGCTACTTCAATCAAAAATAGATCCAAGAAATCATTGAAGAAATTGATTCATGTTTAACTAGTTTGCAGTTTTACCTCATAATTGATTTAGTTGGTTTCGGGAAAAATTTGCTAAATCCAGGTTAAATTGTTCAACGTAGACGTATAGGCTTCGATAGCTTCTTTATAATAAAGGAGGTTATCTAACCTTGTTGGGAGTTGTCGTGAATTTCTTTCCTTTCTTGACTTTCTTGATTTCGAGATGTTCTCATTTTCTTCTTATACTGCATGTAGGAAAATATAGACAAATATATTGTGAATACGTTTATACGTAAATGCTTTTCAATCTAAATAATAAGGTCAACGTCAGGATCGAAGATCTCATTTAGAGCCACCACATTTTCTGCTAACGAATTTAATGTCCTTTAGTCTTATTAAACAAAGGTTCTAGAAGATTTCCTTGAAATAACTATGTAAGCATTCGGAAACAAAATGTGTCATCAATTTTCATTAATTATCTATCAATTTTATATCCCCATTCATAAGTATTACAAAGATGCTACTGTTTCGATAGGATAAGGAATAAAATATAATGATACGAAATAGGATTTTTTTGTGTTGGCAAAAGCAAGAATAGAGAAATAACACGATGAACGTTTTAGATCAACACGGTACAATCATAAAAGCTAATGGAAAAACATTTCTGGAATGAAAAGATAAATAAGTAAAAAGCTGTAAGTACAAAAACATACTAGAAGGAATTTCTCGCGTTGCCACTTAAGTCACGTTCAAGAAGAACTATCATGGCGTCTGCCGCTGAGGAATTGTCTTACACTGTACTGTATGCAATACGCTCCTCTTACATTTGACTGTGTTCGTTAATTTTGTAATAGCCACAACAAGAAAGACGAACACTGTATTCCTGTCCAAATGTTTCTTTCCATAAATGATTTACCTGAAGAAAACTTGTGACAAAGTGGAAAGTACGAATTCTCGACATGGTGTCTGAACCAATTGATCCAGCATAAGAAACACTCGCCGACCTGGACGGAACAGACAATATCCAAGGTAATAGGGTGAAAATAACGTGTTTCTTGACTCCAGAGAAGCTAAAAAAGACACTCAAATCTCTTGTAGATCGTATACTCTTTCCACGTGCAAGACTGAGCGCAAATATAAATATTAATTTTGAAAATTATTTGTAATTCAAATGAGTTTTCGGACTTCAAAAGGCGGGTTCGTGTTCTACGATCTGATAGGTTCAGTTATAAAACGAAGTAGGATGCCTTACTTAACCCTTTACATCGTAATATCAGTATCTATATTCTCGAAACTCTTCTCCATACATTTCCTATGGCACTGACATGGAGAATTCGCTTAACAATCAAAGCTTTTAACATTGGCGATCATGATTCCTTTATTTTCGTGATCTTCATGAATGATTGGGCAGTATTACTGTAAAGAGAAATCGTAAGCTGGTCACTCTTAGGGTTTAAAGGTTAAGAAATGCAGATTTTCAACCTAATAAAGTTCAATAGAGAGCTGCAAATAGTGTTGAAATTCAGAAACATCAACTTGAACTTAGAATATTTTGCTTGAATAGCATTTTTACGTCATTAAAGAAGTACAACCTAGTTCATGAAATTGGTTTAGTCGTAAATTTTTTTTCACTGGTTGTTCAACTTTCAGTTGAGCTAAACAATCACTGACGGAATTGTATTCAGAAGGACTCTGGCCAATATTGAATTGCAATGATCGTTATCTACTTTTTGAAAGATTTTGAGTTACGAAGAGGAAGGCTAAATACAGCTGTACTCTGGACTCTGCTACTGTACTCACAGTTCTCTTCAAAAGGTCCTAAATCTCAGTGGAAGACTTCCTTAACACCATGAGTTAAACAAGAGCGAGGTTAATAATAGTAGTGAAAAGTTCTAAAAACTTTAAAGATTTTCTGAGAATAATGGTTATCAGCCATTCATTGCGGCGGCATAATTTGTATAAAAACAGCACCAAAGTGGGCATCTTTTCGCCAAAGCATCGCAAGCAACGATAAAGCTCAACTCGTTAGTGTTCTTATTTCCGATTGTGAACTTTGCTACCTACCCACGTCAACAGCAATTTAGATTTCTCACGTAGGGTGATTTTAATACAAGTGCTACCGTGAAAGTAACTTTCAAATGATGTTTTACATTCTAGTCTAGGATAGGGACGTCTCCTGCATCCTATCTGTATTGGTTATAAGAGCAAGGGGACATAAAAGAACCCACACACCTCTCGCAAAGAGTAGGGAACGTAGCTCCCGATGTTGTGGTCTTGCCTTGTCATTGTTTGTACAGAACCCCCCTACCCCCACCCCCATTTAAACCAGCTTTAAAGATGAACTGGGCCAGCATGTCTAAATATCGCAAATAAATAAGGAAACGAAAATGTTGCAGTCCTCATTTGGTGAACATTGCTACACAGTTTATTACATTCTTTTTACTTTCTCTTATTGCTAACATTAGACAGATGACTAAATCACTCACGCTTTTGCACATCCAGTATAGTTAGTATAAATTAAAGACACATCATGTTTACGTCTTACAATAAAGATACACGTCAGGTAAACCTGTTTTGGAATACACATACTTCAGTATGAAATTCAAGAAAGATTAAAAGAAAGATAAAAATTGTTCAAGAACTTTATTTTCTACGATGAAAAAGAGCAGTTATGTCTTTGTCGTGCTAAGGCAGCTGGATACACTCTCTCAGAGCTACGATCGGCTTCATTCTGAGATCTCAAAAACATACTTCCCCTCTTTGCAGTCAAACGATTTTCCCAAAACGCGTCTGCCATAGCTAGCGGTATCTTCAACATTGTTTGAAATTTGCAGTCATTTAATTACTTTGATCCAGTTTTTGCATCAGGGCTGTCTTGTGCACCTGAGATGACAATCTGTTGATTGACATCTTCATCCACTCAATAACGTCACTGCTGGACACTGAAAGCCTGGTTACCAAGTTCAGGCAAAGAACGAACAACTGATCCAGGCAGACAACTGGTGCAAAGGTCATCACGTGACAAAGATGTCCAAATACGGATGCTGTTACCATCGCATTGGTCTGAAACGAAACAGAGACCACACTTCACCATACTTTGCTATATCAGTTTAAGACACCAGCAAGTATCTAGTAAGCCATTGTGGTTTATTAGCTGAAAAAAAAAACTTACAAGAATGACTTCTCGGTGGCAAATGCCGAAGTTTAAACATATCTCAATAGACCGGAATGTAAACTTCATGGCAATGACAGAACAATTTTTGACCAACTTTTAAACCTTATACATTTCTTCAACAAGTCTACTTTGTGGTTACAGGTGGGAATCGAAAAAGAAAAAAAAAAAAAAGAAAGAATGTTTTACTTACGTTTTCATTCACAGCTTCTTTTATTGCGGTGATATAATGCTTAATGACGTAAAGCCACACATGAGGGGTGGCCCACGAATTACACAAGGGGCTACCAAGAGTTTCCATCATATTTAAGAGCAACGCAGAAAGTTCACACACATCTGAAACTAAATAAAAAAATTCCTTATAATTAATAATCATTAAAATAATTGTCTTATCTCAAGGCCTCTTTCTGATTAAATTCTAAACCCAAATAGAGAGAAGTTTCTGTTGAGAAATCATTTTGATTGAGGAACGGTACAATGTTAGAACTGATTGAAATTAAATAGAATCCGTTGCGTTGAACATTGATTATTATTACTAGGGGCGTAGGGGCGTAGGGGCGTAGGGGCGTAGGGGTGTAGGGGCGTAGGGGTGTAGGGGCGTAGGGGCGTAGGGGCGTAGCCAGCCTAAAGCCTACTTAATCTTTTTTCCTGCCCGCTTGACTTTCATATAATATGACTCTTGCAAATGTTGAAACAAAAATTGAACTTTCTTGGGGAATAGGCCTACAAGTCGAGAAGCTGGCTACGCCCTTGATTACGATTCCCTTTAGTTGCGTTGGCGTCTGAGATTAGGAGTATTCATGTAAGACTATTTATAAAAACAATGAAAAAGTATCCTTGTCTCTACTTCCAAGCACTTACCTTGACCGTCATCTTCTGTTTTGAGGCACAAAACACCACTAAAGGAACAAACCTGGCAGAGAAATACAGAGAAATGACATACAAACGCTTTGAAGCAACTCCAGTTTTGGAGAGTAACAGTCGATAAAACTGGAAATTAGAGAAAAGCAGTTTTCTAGCCCTGTGATCAAAATCAGTTCTGGGTTTAACCATTCAACATTCACTTAGACATTGGGACTATTTGACAGCATTCACTGAACACGGAGTGAATGATAGGTCATGTATGAATAACCAAGTGATTATAAAAGCATCTGTGTTTTCTTCCCTGATTGAGTAACATCCAGAATTACACAGCAGCGACTTTAAAACTGCTGTTTAAATATTTCAGTCACTGAGAACTCAACCGAAGATCTCAAGGGTGATGAAGTGGCGCGATTGGTGTTAGTTTTGAGTTTAATATTGGAGCGATGGAGGTGTTTCCTTGGACAATCACAGAAAAACGTAAAGCAAAACCATTGGAGTCCTAGATCACTATCGACACTCGTTTCGTTTCATGTTTCAGTTGCTAAGTTTCGCTTGCCCTTTTAAAGTTTTGGGGTCACTTTGCTTCTAACACAACTCTTCCTACTCCTGTGTTGTGTGCCATTAAACCAAACAACGTCACGTGAAAAGATTTACCGGAATAACATGTCTCTTGATAAGGAACTGACACACTGCAAGAATTCTCTTCCATTCTTTCCACGTGCAATGGGGAAGAATCTGCAAAGCATAACAAACTGGGCTTGTCAACAAGGTCTAACTCTCATTTTTACTTGAAATTATTTAAAAATTAGATTACGAGCTCGATGTTTCCATCGCAGGTTAACTGTCGCACATATAAATCTAGGGAATTATTTAATGGTTTTCGTATCTTAATCCACAAGTCGTCTCAAACTTAGCAAAAACAAAAAACCGACTAAGGTTCTAATTCAATTTTGTTTACAACTTCACAATGTTAAGTAACTCATTTTATTGACTGTCTATCACGGAATAGATAGCGAGTGGCGCTGCCAATCAGATTGCAACATTTGTGATGCCGGAAACGCCCGTAGATTTACACAACTGAATCACAAACAGTTATTCAAGGGTAGTGAGCGGTAACCGAAGATAATAACTTTTGCGTGGTTTCGATTTCTCGTGTACAAAAATTTACAGAAGGGCAACCGTTTCATGGGGATTAAAAAAAAGG